AAAAATTCAGGAAGGAACTCTTTAAGTTCTTTGCAATTAAAATAGATAATGGCCATTTATGATGTTAATATGCCATTTAAAAAAATCACCATGTAGCTCATTTTATCTCTTTGAGTTTCAAGTTCCTCATCTACAAAATAAGCATAATAATAGCTGGCTACAACCTCAATCTAGATCCGAATCAAATAAAACATTACATATGAAGACACCTGGTGAGCTCTCATATAAAAAAAATGTGCATTATCCCAAGGATCCTACTAAAGACTTAAATTCCCACCCCAGACTTGAATCCATAATCTGCCAGGTTAACCTAAAATATATTTTGTTCATGAGTTCCCTTGCTCAAAACTTCTGAGAGACAAGACTTCAATACCCATTGGATAAAATATTCATGCTTTAGCCTGGAAGTCAAGTCTTTCTACCATCTCCAATTTTATCTTCTGAAAATTCTACCCAACTGGAACCTCATGCCCTGAGCAATCAGTACAATACTGGTCTTCTCGCAGATTCTTCAGGCTCAGTCCCAGTGATCTCAGAACTTTCTTCTGATCTCAGACATCACAGTCCACCCCACCCCCACCCTGCCCTCCTCTGGCAGCAACCCTACGGCAACTCCAAGACCTTATCAATCCCATGGACCCAAGAGAGCTCACCCTAATCTCTCCCTGTATCACATGGCCTGTGCAGTTTGCCATTTGCTAGTCATCTGTTTACATGTTCAGGTACAGTCCTTAAAACACATAAATTCTCAATGACAGCTCATTTATTTTTTACAGAATTATGGACTTTGCTTAATAGCATCTTAGAACATGTAGGAATACAGCACAATAGCAAACTACAAAACAGTTGCAAATATTTTCAAAGCTACTATGTGCCCTGTTCAAAAGTCCAGGAGGAAGATGGGAGAGGGCATTCCTCATGGATAATCTATGTTCAAGTTCGATGACTTATGTCCTAGTGGGATGGTAAAAACTGGAATATACAACATCAAGTAGGTTAAAAAATGTCCAATCTACGGTGTAGAGGCTTGATCACTGCACTGTACACCTGAAGCTGATGTTGTATAATATTGTATGTCAACTATAATTGAATATATATATATATATATATATATATACACACACACACACACACACACACACACACACACACAGTCATAGGATGTAGAGTGTGGGAGTGGAGTCAGTGGAATTGTAATAGATATGTATGATATGGGGGGAAGGGGGAGGGGCGGTGGATTGGGGGGAGAGAGGTTGTCACTTTGAGGGGTAAAAAGTATAACTATTGCACTGTGTTGTACACCTGGAACTAATAAAAATAATAGTTTTTTTAAAATGTCCAATCATCCTAAACCAGAAAATCACAATCTAAACACAAACTGATATACAATTTCCTTACTACTATTAACCTATAAACCAACATACCCTGATCCTTTTTGATCAGAGGGTTTTTTTTCTATTTAAGTACTTTGAACTCCCAAATTATGAATTCAGTTAAAAAAAAAAGTGAGGGTGAGTTATAATTATATTTAATGATTTTTAAACTTTAAATTTATTTCAACTTCTGTGGATTCCGTTCATCAATTAACAAAAGGCCATATTTAAATTAGGTCAGTTTCTAAGAGTTTCTAAAACATTAGTGCTTATATAGATGTAGGTGATATGCTGGTATAAGACTGATGCTTAAGTTGATGCTTACTTTATACACCTAAAACTACAAAAGAACTTTGCTATATTTTTAAAAAGATTTTATATCCTAGAGGCATATAGCCTGATTATAACTCTCTGAATGTTCTGAAAGTCTTACATAGCTAACAAGACATCATAATTCATAGTAGACCTGAGTTACATAATAATATATTATAAATCCAGAAGTCTCAAAGGGTACTGCTTATGTCAATGTTTCACTCAAAATCCTGTATTCCATATTGATTCATAATTAAAATTAAATGTTGTTTATATCTAACATTCAAAAGACCTATAGCTCCTGAATTTTGTCAGCTCTATGATATGTTTTGCTAAAGTATAATTATTCAAGTATCTTTGACTACATCTTTAAAACTTGTTTTACTTAAAGTCTCTCTCTAATATAGCCTGAATACTTTCAAGGAAAAGTGCTGTATTAATATGAGAAAAAATAAAGTCATACTAAACAGTAATAAAGTTGTCAAGTTTTCCAAATCCAGATTGCAAGATCCCATTTAAATTGGTGATATATATCTTTGGCAAATAAATATGCCATTTTTCATAATAACTCTAGCAGAACTAAGTTTTAGACTCCTATGTTTCCTAGTAAACATAAAGTCACGGTTTTCTATGTAGAAAAAATAAGCACCCGGGGCCTCCCTAAATACTCTACCAAATAACTTACCACCATCTGTATGTTCTATTCCCAACTACTTATAGAATGATCCATGACTTTACTAAGTGACTAGAGATTACATTTCTATAACGGAAATTCTTCCAAAGATGACAGAAAATTCAGAATCCTCTGTTGGTCAAAAACAATCTACAAAACACACTGAAGGAAATGGAACAATTTAGAAAATAATTATTTTACATAAAAACGTGACAAGAAAAAAGTCAGAAGTAGCTTCCAAGTGTGACTTTTGACATGAGGGAAATGTTCTCACCTGTTCATCAGAAGTACTGGAGAAATGTGACTCGTTTGTAAGGCCACTCATTTAATCAACAAACTGTCCATGAGTTCCCTTAAAATCATCTTGACCAGAAACAGTGAGAATCAAAACTTCTGGTGGTTCAATCAGGTCCTACCAACACACCCTCAATAAGCTAGTGCTGGGAAACACTCCTCAGCTTATGTTTGTGATAATTCAGTTGTTCTCATGGCAGCATGTCAAGATGTCATAAATAGTGATTTATTATTTCTCTGGAGTATCAAAAAGCTGCTGACCTAGGAGAGTTTGACAAACAAAGGCCTTGTTTACAAAGGAAGACTTCTAAAGAAAAAACAACAACATAAAAACACTGGAGGACAGCACCACTTTTATAATTTGTGAAAGTTTTCTCTTACTCCAATACATAATAAGCCTTTAAAATGAAATGTCAAAATATTACAGTAATATAAGGAGTATCCCAATTATCTCCCAGAAAAAGAATGGGATATGCTTTTATACTGGTCTGTAAAATGAATTACTTTAAACTTAAAAGGAAAAAAGTTTTAAATAACTATTTGTCAAAGTCTTCTAGTTATACTGCCAGAAATATTTTAAACAGAATTCAAGCATTAACAATATAACACAAGGTAGAGGGGCTTTTTTTTTTTTTAATTCTAAGCCTCAGGTGTTGGTCAAAGCCCTTTTCAAGAAACTTGACGAGAAATGCTCAAAAACCACTTTAAAAACGAACAAAAGAAAAGATCTAAGGCTACTTTGAACACACTCTTGTGGTGAATATATTCTGTGAAACACCACAGTGCAGCTAGTCCTGAAGCTGGGATGTAACTGATGTAACTCGTAAGAGAAAGGCTGCATTGAAGGAAGCACTCCCTCGCCTCTGCCAATTCTTCAAGGGTTCTGATACCCCAACCTCCTGTTTTCTTTTTCTTTTCTGTTTTCTTATGCAATGTTCTTTACCACTATAGCATCTCTCTTTAATGATCCCAACAAAAGAAATAGACCTCAGTCTATCCAGGTTTGGGTTTTTTCCCTCAGTCCACTTCAACAAACATCTTTTGTACCTAATAGGTATCTACAAATCCCTTCTTTCCAGTAGCAAACATTTGAGTTGCCAGAGAGCTTTAAAAAAAAAAGTCCAGGAGAATAAAAGGGCAATTAGATTCCTAAAAGTGTGCCTCGATTTGCATAACAATGTACCAACTTCAATTCAAACCTACCACACCACTGAACACTTCACCAGTATGTTAGCAGTAGGGCTGGATGCATATCAAGTCTAGCATTGGCAAACAAGCCTCGGATAATGGTCCCCCAAATAACTGGTGGAAAATATTACCGAAAACATCTGTATGTGCATATATAAGTATGTATACACACACACACACACACACACACACACACACACAGAGCACTGAGCATGGCTATGATTTTAGTACATACAACTCTGGTTTCTGAGTCTTAGTGGTTAGACAGAAATTTACTTCTCGACATGCAAACAATATTTCTGCTCATACAAACATTCTGTTCCTACAAGCATGGTACAACCAGGTGTAAATAAAAAAGTTCTTTGAAATGGAAATTTAAAATTTACCTCTGCTACTGGTAACACAGAGACGTTAAAAATAACCACTCAATGCAGTAGACAAAGGTGTATCCTTAATGTCTTCCTTATCCTCTAATATTGCACATACTTAAGAATACAGCCTACATAATGGCAATAATGATACCTCTCCATCAAATTCTAACCTGGGTCGCTTTGCTGTTTCAAAAGCACCAACCTCCATCAGGTTAGGGAGGAGAGGGAAAAGGCGACAACCTTGCAAAACTCTCCCTAAAGTTATGTAAACAAAGGAGGGGAGAAGCCCAAAATGGGCTTTGCACCCATGTGCCACTAAAATTACATAACAGCCTGTGCAGACATTAAAGAAGGCATGAATTCTGCACAACACCCCCACTTCCCTCGACTCCCGAGCCTGTCTTCTTCTCTTAAAAAATCCAAAACCTGGCAAGACCAAATGGACGACTCTAAATACTTATTTTATTGCTGAGTAAATCCTGCGAGAGTTGCAGGCACGTTTAGGCCCGAAGTTTGAATGTGCAACAGCCCCAGGGCGCAGCGACTCCACTCTCCGGACCCGCAGGAGAAAGAAATGACAAGCGACAGCAGCCAGCAAGGCCTTCTCCTTCCTCCTCACGATGCCTCCCTCTGTAAAGTTTTCCACGCGATCGATCGGAGAGAAGGAGCCCGTTTCCCCCGCCTGCCTGCCTTTGCAGGAAAAGCGAGCAGGGAGACTAAAGGGGAGTCGGCAGGGAAAGTGCTGGAAAGCTCCGCACACCGCGGGCGGCGGCAGCGAAGGCTGCTTACCTGGGCGACGCGGAACAAAAAGAGGAGCCGAGGCGGTACTGCTGGCGACCCGAAGCGGGTTTCCCCGCCGGAGCCCTAGGCCTGCGCGGGGGCCCGCGGCCGGGCCCCCGCCGCCACTTCCTCCCTCGCGCGCGTCATGTCACGGCGATCAAACATGTCTGTGTGCGCTTCGCTGCTGTGACTTCCTGATTCTCTGCCGCTCGGGCGCGCACACTCACATTCACAGCCACACGCACACACCACCCTAACCAGCCCCCTCCTCCAAACCTCGCCTGGTCTTCCCGGAGCTCCGGGGGAGGCCCGCGCCCTGCTCCTAACGCACTGGACCCGGCGCGCACAACACACACTCACGCGCAGACACACTCGCGCGGACCCCGAGGACGCCGAG